ATGGCAAATTCTCATAGCAAAAAAATATTATCTTCATCAGTTAAGCATCAGAAAAGGTAGAAGGGATCGCAGCAAAGCCCTGCACCCCGCCTCCAGCAGGTACCCAGGTACAGTGCACAAAAAGGGCGACGCGCAGTGGTAATGGCCCAGAATACGCTCCCTCCCACCCCAACCTTGCAGAGGGAGCTCCCAAGGCGCAGGGGATTCCTTGATACTGCTTAGCGTTTACTGGCTCCCTTCCTGCACACAAGTAAGCTCTGTGTCCCCGCCTTCCAGGCCCCCATAGCACCTCCCTGTCCCCAGTTTCCTGGGACAGTCCAGGCTGAGCAGCGGTGGGATCCATCCCCAGAACCCCCCAGTTACACTTTCCGGCAGTGGTGGGACCCACTGTGCCCCAGGCAGGGAGCAGGGACAGAGGCAGCCCCAGCCAGCCATGGGCATGCTGCCCACCCAGCAGGGTCTTCTCCACCTCGTCGTCTCCCTCGCCGTCCCAGACACCCAGAGAAGATGAATTTTAGTTTGAAAGAAGCCAAGATGCAGAGAGCTGGCCTTGGCTGCCACCTAGCAGCGACCCAACAGCGGCAGGGACAGGGTGACAGCTCCTCCAGCTCGGCAACAGGCAGGGGAAGACATGGGGGGGGTCTCCTTGGGACACCCTACCGCAGCCACAATTCTCACCTCCCCGAAACCAAAGGGGACTTCTGCAGTAGAGAGGGTGCTGCTGGAGACAAGCACGCCCTTGCCCAGACAGCTCTGACCGAGCTCAGCTCTGCTTCAGCCATTCCCTATGTTGGATGACAAACACGTGTGCACCAACGCCCGGCCCGCAGCCTGAACACAGGACCAGAGAAGTCAGGCAACTTCCGAACCTCGCCCCAGGGCTGTACAGCCCCTGCTCAAGCCACAGCTCCTCACCCCTCGGATCCCATCTCCTTCATTAGCTTTCTGTGCAGTCATTGCCTAATGAGCCCCAGATTTTCTTTCTACCATTTTTTTTTAAGCCCTTTCACATCCAAAACTACCCCTGAAATTTAAACAAAATATTTATGGAATCATCAAATGGTTTGGGTGGGAAGAGAGCTTTAAAGATCATCTAGTCCAACTAATAATCCTCTTATGCTGGGCTTTAATCCACTCCAGAAATAATGTTCAGCCCTCACTTGAGCTTTTCTTGGTGGTTTGCGGTGAAGTATACCTCCGGCACATTTGCAGGTGGGCACAGAATGGCCCTTGAAGCCCCAAAGAACAGCCTAGGCACCAGCAAACCAGCTGAATGCCAGCATTCATAACTAGGGCACTTTATTTTCACAGCTTTTCTCTGCATTCATAAACTCAAGCCCAAGAGGATTTCTTGCCACAGATAGGGAGCTACATAAACACGGCCAATGTCAAGCTCCAAGCTTTCTCTCACTGGATTCTTTGTCGATCTCACCCAATATCTGTAACACGAGATTCCTCATGCTTTGTACATGTGGCATCTTGATTCACCAACAAATCGGAGCGTCTTTTTCTTGCGGCAGGAGGTTTCTTTTCGCAGATTACCGGCACTTCCACAGACTGAGGCCTAAGCTGGGATACAACCAACCAGATACGCAGCTCCTAACAGCAAGGAGTGTGTAGAGCATCCAGTGTTAAAAGCCAAAAACATCTCCCGCCACAATATCAAAATTGCTCGTGCACTGAGGGAGGGAGGGACAGTTTCCCTCTCCTAAACTTAAAGGATACAGAACACGATGTGACACTTCGATATTCTCCTGAACCTTTACATTAAGGAGCAATAAATCAGTACAACAAAACCAAGCTATTTTCCTGAAAGTAAAACTAACAGCCATCACATGTACCAGGCACATCTGAGCAGATGTCAGACTCCAAGTTTTTCACAGGGATTAAACATTTCTGAAGAAAGAAAATGACAGCATGGTAATACAGAGGGCCTTCACTGCTCTAGGCAGCCTTCCCAGGCAGCTGCTCCAGCTGCAGCTTCTCCTCTCGTCTCACACCCTCTTTCTCAGGCCAGCGAGCCACTGGAAGTAGTCACTGCAAGTGGCTAAGCGCACAGCTGCCAACACCGCAGGCAGCGTGGTGGGAGGGACGTACAGCTTCTGAGACAGCCTTTGGTCAGACAGCCCACGGGCACTGCACAGGCCAACAGCAAGACTCCCGGGAAGGTCTTGGTTCTTCATTTTCTCTTCACCTGCATAAGGAGCGAGACAGAAAAGAAAGGTGGTATCTACACTGGCAACTCTAAGAGCTACAGTTTAGGCTGAAATCCCTTTTGCCTGGACCTTACCAGGTCATGGCAAGAGGACTTTCTACTGCACATGTATTTGATGAGCCCAACATGGTACAACCCAAGAGAGCCTCTCCCTCTCCTCCCAGTGGTCAACCCCCTTTCCCCAGAGGTGGGAAATTAGATGTGAATTGAGCAGCTCGCGCCTGGAGAACGGGGCCTCCACTCCAGACAGATGGCAGACAGCTCTGTTCCAAGGCACAAAGAGGCACTGCCTTCGGCAAGTCACCTAGTCTACCTTGCAAATCAGGCAACTCTCCTTTGGGTGTTGTAAATTCTTTCATCATTTGGAAGAGGGAAGACAAACACCTCCACAGGGACCTTTTGCTTTTGTCCCTTACGGTTGGGAGACTGAGAGACTGTCAGCATGGAACGAACGCCGGCTACCGTATGGAGTGGAGAAACAAAGACTTCTGCATGAAAGCAGCAGAAAGTCTCAAAAAGACAAAAAAAAGTCAACAGAGAGAGAAATAACCCTCAATTCATTTGTTCCCACTAAACCTTCAGAAATCCATTTTGCTGCACAAAGGTCAAACCGATGCATTGCATCCAGTCATTTACGATTGTCGCATCGCCATCCCACGGAAACACCAACATTTTTGTCTGTTCTAGCAAAGAAGCAGCACCAGGCCTAGGACACCCAATAGTGACTGCAAGACTCCTCTAGCACAGTAACAGACTGCTCAGATTTCTGCCGTGTTAAATTTTACTGACAAATCTATTCGTACTGTTACGGTTGTCCAGCATAAACGGTATTGCCATAAGTAGAACAGAGGGATGGACAGCTTCACGAAGTTGGGCCTTGTTGGAAAATCTTTCTATCTGATCAGGGTCATCTTGGCTCATTTCTGCCGGTTGCTTGGAGTAGATAAAGGAGGTGTAAAAGTCTTCCACTGACTTGAATAAGACAGCAGGCACTGAGGACTCTCCAAGAGAATGAGGTGTCTGCAAATGTATATAAAACACTCAGGAGAGGGTGTGATTAGCGCACACTCTGTTCACTAGCCGCCCTGATCTTTACTAGCTCTCAAAGCCCACAAAGAACTGGAATGTCAGCAACTGGACGATTTTTTAAAAAATAAAATTAAAATACTAGTTACTCACAACCTTGGCCAAAGGGCAGCTTTTCCTGCACAGCAAGCTAAAAAGAGTGACAGATTATTACAGGATACAAATCACCATGTCTTTGCTAAAGAATTAACAGCTGGCTCATCTCTCAGCAGCCCCACGCAGAACAGATGCTGGCAACGACAGGGAGCTTCTGCAAGGGAGTGGGAATCGAGTCAGAGGAAGTCCCTCTGCATTTTTGCTTAAGAATACATATTAAACCTAAGTTCCTGGAATGATCACCCATGTCTCAGACACAGACTAGATACTAGAGTAGCTCTCCCTAGAGCCAGCGTTTCTATTTGTTAATTCAGCATGGAGGAGAAAAATAATGAAATGGTAAGACAAGTAGCAATTCACCTTGCCCAGCCACAGCTGTTCAAAATTTAGGTGCTTGCTCTCTAGGCTTCTTCTGTTGTCAAGGCAGCAGAAGAAAGGTATCCATCTTCAGAAGGGGTGAGTCACCATCCAGAGGTGCTTCACCCACTGGTGAGTGTTCAGAGGATTCACCCAGAACAAAACAATTGCTTTTACACAAGCAGATTTAAGCAATTTAAATTGACTCCCAGGAGGGGACCATGAGGCACTCCTGAAGCAGCAAGGAGAGCTACATGGCTGAGCAGCAGAAATTCAGTGCTGACAGGATGCCAGGACAGAATAATTGGAATCACAGGCGTCACTGGAGTCCAATTAACCAGCTACTCAGCTTGATACCAGCGGCCCACTGAAAACCTCTGCCCAACATGCAGTAAAAAAATAGAGTGCAAGGACAACTGAAAGAACAGGGTTAAAACATGATTATTATCTCCCCTCGCCACCCACGATGTCCTTGTTGGGGGACAGGTAGTGTCACTGCCACTCCAGGACAAAGCAGAAACAGAGTGCAAGGGTGGACACTAGAAAATTCTGTTAGCACTGGAAAAAGCTGGGATGGAAATCATTCAAAAAGAGGTTGTTCAGTTTACAGAAGAGGCAAAGGAGACAGGATATCCTAGAGAGTGCTGTGAGGGGCAGCAAGTAAGGCAGTATTTACCCTCCCTCCAGATCCATGCAATTAAGCCCACCACCACTGAAAAGGAAAACACAAGCAGTGAAAACTGGAAGGGAGGGAACACCGCTCTAAGTTCTACAACACCCTGAGGCCAAGAGACGAACAGGAATCAGAGAACGGAAATCTTCCTGTCTGTCCTCATAACTAGCTGACCGATGCACTGTTTCCCCCCTGTCTACAGGCAGGATTATTTTTCCATCCCATGGTCTTCCTTAATAGAAGTTCTTGTCACTTCTTCTAAAGACTGTAACAGAGATCACAGCCAGCGACAGAAAAAGTGCCCAGGACTTCTCTGATCCAGTTAGGAAATTCCTATGCTTTGAAACTCACATACTTTAATACTTGCAGGGGAGCATTTAAGTCAGCTTACAAGGACCCTAGTGCTACCTACCCACCTGCCTCCATCCTCATCCCCACACTTCCCACCAGAAACTGTTCTCTTCTCTCATTCCCTCAAGATCCTTCTTCCCAGCTTGCTTTCTGTCTATCCCTTTCAGCTAACATCCTCCAGAGCCATCAATTCTTCCAGCTTTTCCTCTCCTCCTTCTAGAAAATGCTTTGTCTCAGCCACTATCAACCTCCAGATGTGTAAGGAGCTGTGGTTGTCCAGAACCTTGTAGGCACGCTCCCATTTCCAGCTTGGCAATGCCTTCTGTGGCTCAACAAATCCTAAGTGAAACTGGCTCCCCGCTGAACCCAGAGCGGAGCATTTGCAAAACGCCACGCTGCAGGCCCCGTTAAGACTCATCACTAACCACTATTTAAAAAGCAAACTTGCAACACCAGCACCACGTAATGCCTCAAATCACAGCCCAAAACGTAACCCTTCCAAACCCATTCTCCTGACTCAGGAAGAGAGGCCTGTGTGATGCAGAGAGGTCTCACAGTAACTCCCAGTTACTCCCAGCAATCCTCAGAACTGTGAATGGAGGGGAAGCAGAGGAATGAAGAAGTGCCAGGCTTGATCTATGAAGTGCTGAAGCAGTCGGTCTTGCTTCCACAATACACTTGTGCTCCACTGGCATGTCAAGGCATCATCAGTAACACCAGAAACAACCGTAAAGAGGAAAACCTACAGCTCTGAGCCCATGCTAATAACCAGTCATTATTTCTTGGTCGGTCACTTTTTCTAAAAAAAGAAAATACATGTCAAAGCAATCCAAGGGTTATTCAAACAATCTAAAAACAAGAACAAGCCCTCTCAACAGCAATAGCTGAGAAAAAAGCCATTACCTTAGCCACTGCCACAAGCTCTGTAACAGTTTCATTTGTATCCTGCTGTGCAAGTTCAGGGTCTTGGTCTGTTGTTCTTAGGACACTGACTTCATCCAGAAGTGGCCGCCCATCATCCTGTATCTCCTCCTTAGCAGAGAGATGCCATTGCTAAGGAGATGGACAAAGCAAGAAAATGTACAGCTAGTGCAGGCAGAAGAAAGCAGGATCCACTGGAGCAAATTACGGAGCAATCAGATGATACCATTTGGAGATTAACCGAGAGAGAAATGCAGAGGAGCTTTTCTGTTCTGCTTGGAAGTTTTAAGATGCCTATCTGGAGAAGTCTGGGCTACTTGGAAAGGACAGAACGAACACGGAAGGATGGGAAACAATGTGAACAAGAAACTAACTTGTCACTAACTTCTCTGCTCCACAGTAAAACTTATCACTTGTAAAGTACAGCATTATTCAAGCAATGTTTTCCAGTTATTGCTTGCTGCCTTCTGAGAAGTTTTACCACGGAGAAGTGTCCTAACGTATCAGAGCTGCTACAACAGTGTCCAGCCATTTCGCACTTAAGGGCAGGGGGGTGGTGGTGGTAATCCTGACGAGGCAAATCTAAGATTGGCCAGTGCAAAGGGAGTTCCCCACTGCTTAAGAGGAGTTACCAGAAAATGCTAGCTGAGCAGTAACAAGTGTCATACCAGACACGTTTCATTCCAGTTCAAGACATTTTGAGTAACTTTATAATTGACATTCATGATCATGTTAATGAGGCACCAAGGAAGAGAAGGAATTGTTTTGGGCACCTGAACAGAACAGCAGAGAAGAAAACGGTTAAAATCTAACAAAGAGAGATCTAGATGACTGCAATTTCTCAAAAAGGATTTTAAGACCCTTGAAATCAGACAGGAGAGAACCTGAATGCATTTACATTCCTCTAGTCTCCAAATTGCCAGCTACGTCTGACATTTATGTACATGAATCTTGCTACAAGTTAACCAGATTTTCCCATAAAAATCACAATAAACTCGGATTTGTAGAGTCTCAGCCACATTAATTTCTTCCAAATACATAAAGACGCTGGTTTGGCACCTTTGGCTCAAATGATGTATCAACAGTGCACGGCCATTAACATCCAAGATAGATAGCTTATACAGAGCCTCTCTAGTACAGAAACACAGTTGGCTAAAACAAAACCTAGGTAAAATGACTGCTTTAGAAGCTGCTAACATTACACTAGCTTCTACTCTTATTTCAGAGAAATGTCAGAAAAACAGGCCCAGAGCAAGCCCACTGCTGAACACTTCAACAGCTGACATCTACTGAAAAGGTGCTTTGGCCCCTATAATAAAATGTGTCATGAAAATGCTACCATTTAAATAACACAGAAAAGTAGAGAGAGTCACCTGTAGACAATTGTTCCTGGTGCTTCTAACCGTACTGCCTTAGATTGCACTCAAGACCCTGGGTTCTACTCCCTGCTTAACCCCTCTGTTCATCAAATTCTCCACCTGTCAAATAGCAAAGGGCTCCTCTCTTTAATATGCTCTGAAATCAAAGGTGTAAAGCAGATATCGAGATCTGGATATCATTCACCTTTAGAGTTACCGTTCTAATAAACCTGTAGTTGTGTATAGCCTTACCCCCTGCAACAGTCAGGACAGCAAATCATTTCCTTTCACGCTAGTCTAGAACGAGCAAGACCCTTAATGCAAATAATACACCACTAGTTCTTCTGGTCTTTTCCCACATTTAAATGATACTCCGAGTTATTACACACCGTTTGCCAAACCCCAGAAATGCGAGAGGAACACACACTACTTCTTGGCTCCCAGGGGTGCCAAACATAGAAGTGCTAAGTCAAACTGATCTCAGGAATCTGGTACTGCTCTGAGTTCTCAACTGAGTCTGTTCTGTCTCTAGCAGGAAAATTATGGTGCATGTGGGAGGTTAAGAGAAATCACTGAGCACACAGACACCCTAAAGTCTGCAAAGGGGTCAGAGGACAAGCAGCTAGAGGTGTTATTTGTGGTCCATGTGCAATTGTTTTTGTATTATTGTTCTGCTTGCGTTTTAGAAAAGCAAAAAAAACAACTCCACAAAAAACCTGCATGGGACTAAAACAACACATGTCTAACCAAGCCCTGGGGCGGATTTCACTGAACAATAGCTGCACCACAGTCAAGCTCCCACCTGGTCACACTGTTCATAACATTTTCTTGCTTTCCACTGGGCTGAACGTACAAGGCCGAAGGGTTCAGCTCCTCGAATCCCTAGGAATAAAAACCCAAAACCCCAGTATAGTCAAGAAAACCTTGGTGTAACTACCACAAAGAATAAAATGGATTCAGCAAATTTCCAATAGGTTTTATGAAGAAGCACATCACCCACAAGTTAGCTCCAAATTCTTGCAGAAATTCTCTTACTGTGAAAATCAACTCCTCTCCCACCAGCAACAAATTACTCAGCAATGCCCCCCTCCCCCCAAAATTGGACATACACATGCAAAAATATAATCACAGGATCTAAACCTGCCAAAACATACATTCTGCATCTACTGAATAAAACAGACAGAAGCACTCTGGGCTGTCAGGCCGGACTCTCTGCCGAGATATAAAATTGTGACAGCACCTTTCCAGGAGTTTTCATATCCACACAGTTCTTACTGAAACTGAGCTGAGACATTCACATGACGACACACAGGGGCCTAAATCATAAATGCTCTGCGCTGGCTTACAACTTGAACGTCTGTCCAAGGCACAACATGCAAACTACCACGATTACACTGCCCAACAGTGTACATTTCACTGGCAAAGTAAGAAACTTTTTAAACCAAGACCATTTCCGTAATGCAGTTTGTTAATGACATAACTAATCTTCAATGCCTACAGCAGAGAAGGCCAAAATAATTTACTTTACTACCTTGTTTCTCATTCAACTGCCCCTGCCACAATGTAGCACTACTTTAAGTCAGACAATAAAATCTAATCAACTTGTTCTCATTAATTGCTTGGATGAATCAGGGGCCTCAAATTATGATTAACAGAACTTGCTGAAATTAACAACAGGTAGTGAAGTAACTAACACATCTCTTAACCTCTCAATTCCATCTCAGTTTGGCCTTATGCTCAGAACATTTGTAGCGATTTTATTCTTCCATTTTATTTATCCAAGCTGTGAGTCAGCTCCTGATGAATCTGCAATACTAACAAGCTAATCAGCTTAAAAAAACCCATCAAAACCTTCTAATCCACTATTTGAAGACAGGATGAAAACAATTTGTTCTAGTAAACCTGAACATCTCTGCTGTATCATCAGATTCTGCCTTAACCAAAAAGCAAGCTCTCTCCACAGAGTCAGACACCATGGGATGCAGTCACACAATGGTAAGTTACAGCAAAGCAGGGAATACTAGTTTTGCTCTTTGCAAAACTACTTCCTTCAAGCTAAAGATCTTCCCATTATAGGCACCCAACGGATCTTTTTCCTGCCCTTCCCTTCAGCAGAACACGCTTCCCTCCTGACCTGGGAAGGAATATTCTCTCCACAGATGTCAGCACATCCTTCATCCCTCAAGACACAGTGGAAGTAGACATCCTCCTCAGTGGATGTGTCGCACAGGAAGAGATGCAAAATGCCGTTCACATATTCATCCACGATGCCCACAAGTAGCTTGGAGCCACACAGCTTCTTGAATAGGAGAGTTGCTGCATTGGACCACCTACCCTGAGGAAGAAACAAGAACGTGAAGTTACTATAAACAGACCAACATCCACTGCCTGAGACTTTCCCTTGTGGGCACTTGTCAAAAAGGCAATTAAGCTAGGTCAGGCTAGGGACAAATACAGGAAAGTCAGGCAGACAAGCTGCCCAGCACCGAACCAAATCAAACTACCCCAAAGCCTGCCATGCTGGTTGCACTGGGAATGCCCTTTCACCCTAAATACCTACGTCCAAACATGGTTTGATGGCATTCACCAGTGATTTCATCACAATTGCCTAAAATACAGTTTTGGGGTGGTTTATTTTTTTAAATTCCTGCAATCATGCAATTATAAACATTAAAAGACTCAAAAGTTTTTAAGAAGCTGCTAAGCCTCACTGCAATGGAAACTGTGATTCTTTAACTCTCAAAAACTAGAGGAAGTCCACGCCTTTAAAACACATAAGAAGCAACTCTGCTCACATGCTTTTCTTCAGTGATTGTATTTCTCAGGCTTCTTGACCAAGTGGTTTCCCAGCACAGAGGAACTTTCCTGTGACCTCTGTAATGCTTTGGCTATGCTGACTGCATCAAACCAACTCATTTAAAGCTCCATCACAGAAGAAATTTCTGAAACGGAGGGCTGGAGCTACCAAGGCTTCAGAAGGACCCTGGAAAACTACTGGCAGAGGAAGAAACAAGTTTGGTCATCTGCTTAACAGTACCTATCTGCTTCTGCAACAACGCAAGCAAGAATACTCTGATCATAAGGAAAACAGACAGTGGAAGGGTGATCACTTGCAGAGACAGAGACCTGCGCAGTAATACTCTGCCGAACGTAACGGCCATTCTGCTGTAAACATCAGTGGGACACGAATCCATCCAAAAGTTTGCCCTTATCAGGAGAAAAAGCCAACCTCTACTCGGCAGCTCTCATACATATGCCAAGAAACAAAACTGCACGTGAACACATACCTCCATGGGTTTTACCCACGCCAAGGAACACGGGATGGCCTGAGCAGGGAGCTTCAAGTAGCACCACCTACAATACAAAACAAAGCCATCACCAAAACTGCAAAAACGGAGCAAAGCCAGACAGAAGAGCAGAACTTCCTCTTCTTCTGGGTTTTCAAATCAGCTTAGGAATAGAGGCATGTATTGCATTTTGCACTTATGAACAGAACCTGAGAGAAGCTTTGGAAAACACTCCATATCCAGAGAAGGGGCACAGCAGAAACAGCAATAACAACTCGCCCCTTAGGCCTCCCCTTGCCCAAGCATCCTCCCTTCATAACCCCTTATTATTGCAAAGTTACGGACAGAGGACAATGACTTCTGAACCAAAGAATGCCAATGGCCAGGCATGAATAGAGGCAAATGAGAGGGAAGAAGAAAATATGGAAAAGGTACTGAATTGCAGAGAACAAATAACTCTGACACTGCAAACGCACAACACTTGGACTGACGTCCATTCAGGAGGATGTTTACATTGCTTCACAGAGCCCAGGAAAGAGAATTAGGGAGCTTGCCCCATAGTGACAGACAGTGGCAAGAAGAAAGACTGAGGAATGAAGGCAGAAACACGAAAGGCTTTAGCCCGTAGTCACTGTGAGGGAGTAATGGACAGGGTTGATGAGCAAAAGGCCTGGAGCAATCAGCAAAACAGTCTTAATGTCACCTGAGGTATTGGCATGTAAGTATGGAAGGGGCTGCAAGGCACCATTAATGCAATATAAACCCAGATCCTTTCCAGGAAATCTGCATGCTGGGATGTCTTTCTGAAGAAAGACAGGCCAGTCAGCCTCACCTTGATTCCTATGAAGGTGATGGAACTACTAATCCTAGGACAAGAAGGTGACTAGAATTAATCAGCATGAACTCAACAAGTCATGCTTGACCAGCTTGACAACCTTCTACAATAAAATGACTGGCTTGCTAAGTGAGGGGAGAGCAGTGGGTATTGCTTGCCTTGACTTCTGTCAGGCTTTTGACACTGCGTTCTGTAAGATCCTCAAAGGGAAGCTGAGGAAGTATGGACTGGATGAGCAGACAGTGTGGTAGACTGAGAACTGGCTGAAGGGCCAGGTCCAGAGAGTGGTGATCAACAGTACAAACTCTAGTTGGAGGCCAGGAACTAGTGGTGTACCCCAGGGGTCAACATTTGGTCCAATACTGTTCAACATCTTCATTAACGAGGAGCTGCTGGAGAGTGTCCAGCGGAGGGCTACGAGGATGGTGAGGGGACTGGAGCATCTCTCCTACAAGGAAAGGCTGAGGGAGCTGGGCTTGTTCAGCCTGGAGAAGGCTGAGAGGCGACCTAATATACGCTTACAAATATCTCAAGGGTGGGTGTCAGGAGGATGGGGCCAAACTCTTTTCAGAGGTGCCCAGCGACAGGACAAGGGGCAATGGGCACAAACTGAAGCCGAGGAAGTTCCAGCTGAACATGAGGAAGAACTCCTTCCGGAGCCCTGGCACAGGCTGCCCAGGGAGGTTGTGGAGTCTCCTTCTCTGGAGATCTTCAAGACCTGCCTGGACAAGGTCCTCTGCAGCCTGATGTAGTCACCCTGCTTCGGCAGCAGGGTTGGATTAGATGACCCACAGAGGTCCCTTCCAACCCCTACCATTCTGTGATTCTGTGAGAGTCTACCTTCATCAAGTTCGCTGATGATACAAAACTGGGAGAAGCGGCTGATACACCAAAGGTTCGCACTGCCATTCAGAGGGACCTTGACAGGATAGGGAAATGGGCAGACAGGAACCTCATGAAGTTCAATGAAGTCCTGCACTTGGGGTGGAACACCACCATGCACCAGAACATGATGGGGGCCAACCAGCTGGAAAGCAGCGTTTTTTCCATGAGGGCAACCAAACACTGGAACAGGTGGCACAGAGAGGTCGTGGAGTCTCCATTCTTGGAGACATTCAAAAGCCACCTGGACATGGTCCTGGGCAGCCTGCTCTAGATCGCCCAGGGAGGCTGGACGGGACAACCTCCGGATGCCTCTTCCAACCTTAACCATCTGTCACCCATGTGTAATCTACTTACTTGAGGAATCTCAGCCAAGACTTTTGGACAATTTCGAGGTTTCCATAGTCTGGGTAGAACACCTCTACTTCTTGGTCATTGATCACACGGTGGATGATAACGCGGTACCACCATTTCGAGACTGTCACACAGCAAAGCTGTCCAGGTTGTACTGAAGACTCAGGCATTATATAACGATCAGAAACAAGTCTATTTGAGTAACAATGTCTGCAAAAGATCATAATGAGAAATTGTGCTTGATAGAATGCAGGAGATGAACAAAGAGAAATATACAGGGCTTCAGAAAAATCCTGATTTCTCAAGGCCCCATGACACAAATTTTCAGGAGTTGTTTTAACAGATGCTTTACATGCCTGTTCTCCTACTCTTTAACTGAAATGACAATAAAAAAATGCAAACCCAAACTTTTAACATTTGAATTATATTCTTGGGGTCCAACAAAAAGTTAATTAATGGGGATTAATCAGAGGCTAAATACAGCCATTCTAGTTATTAATTTTTAACATTACCTTGACACGTCAGTGCTTCTTATGATCCAGGTTCTGGAGTACCGGCTCATACACAAAGCATCTGCCTGCAGGGTCTATAATCACGCTTACATGTGCCCCATGGACATCAAGCATTTACTTTCGCACACAATTAACAGCAATTGTAGCACTGTCTTGGTGGAACAGAATCCCAAGGGCATAACGTAACTGATACAAAGCCACTGATGGGGTTTTGCTTTCAAATACAAGCATGACAAAGGCCTATTACCTGTTGCTTTTTGGTAAGTGTTGGAGATGGAAGTAAAAGCCTTACCCAAGCACATTAGCAACTGCAGCACAGACAACAGAAAGGTGTAAAGGAACTCTGAAGTTCCTTTCCACATCCTCTCCAGGCTTTTAAAGTTTAGGACTGTCTAGGACACCTCCAAACAACCGTGAATTGCTATTAACCATACTTCTTGCTTGCTAGTTAAAAGAAACGGGTAAGCATTATGAGTACGCGTTTCAGTACAGCACTGGCATACCTGTGTCAAATAGTCAAGCCAGCAGTGACCATAACCTACAGCTGGGTGCCCTGTTCCCTCAGCACAAACACACACACAACGGGCAGTAGTACTGAATCAGCATAGCTTGTTCGCACCTCATCTCAAACATCATATCCTGCAGTTTATCAGACGTTTCCCTGCTGCAGACGTGGATGTAGAACTGGCTAGGAGAGATGACGAATCCGACGAAGACTCCCACCAAGCACCTTCTCTCCAGTGGTGGTAAACTGCAAAGGCCTCTGTCCTGAACAGCATCTGGGGGGATTTCTGGAGTTATCAACTTGGCTAGGAGGGACTGCTCCAAATCTTGAGGCTACAAAGGGATAAGAGAAAGGTGGCACTCAGATGCCTTGTCATGCACCGAACACACATGCCTGGCCTTTCTATTAAGGTAAAAAAATAGTTCTGCTTTCCTGGGGACCTGTGAATTACAGAGTATCAGAGAATCCCAACAATTTCTGCAAACTCTGATTAAAACTTTCACCGTGATGGAAGCATTGATTTTCACACTCTCTCTCTTCCTTCCCTCCAGTGTAAAGAGGGGTGCAACAAAAATACCTTGCTCACACTCCTGCAAGGAATCAAGGAGAGGATCTGAAGTCATGGCACATATTTAGACAAAAGTATTGAATGGGTATTGCTAAAAATGCAGAACAAAACCTCACACCAAAAAACCACGCAGACACAACCCACCTGTTTGGTGGATTTTATGCAAAAGATGCTATTTCTATGTTCCGTGACCACGACAGAACCAGCAAAACTCTATCTGAAAATGATTCAAAAGTGACAGAAGGCACAAATGCATCTCACTCACACTACTGCTATCTCCCAAGGATAAAAACAAAACCTACAAATTCTGGCCTTTTCTCACTCTTCACGAATTTGTACATGAGTGAATGAATTGTTAGCACAGCTTACAATTCTGCATTATTCTTTAAATGCTGAAAACATTATTTCACTTGAACTAGTGGGATGGGAATCCTAATCAGACATCAGCTACTTTCACTGCCAATGAACAGCACTCCTCCAATCATCAGAACTCAAAATTATTTCAATTTTACTCATCATGAATATGCCTCAAGTTGCCACTGCATTATACATCAGTCAATGTATGGAAAATTTGTCTTCCAGCACACATTGCTTATCTGGCTAAATTCTACTGCAAACAACGGGTTTTTGCAATACTGGCTCTTTTAACCATATTTTAAAGAGGCAGATGAGAGTTTCTCTGGCAGATTGAGCAAGGGACAATGCCCTTGAATTTTTTTAGAGTTTAAAATTTTGACTAAAACATTGAGTTAAACAGTGAGTTAACATTTTTGAGTTCAAGAGCAACTGAAGGAATTCTTGCCAGCGCAACAGCATCACCTCCTTAAATTTCATGGATTTCCTCTAAGAATTGCCTGTGAATAGTGGCATTTCTGAGGGACAGTTTTGCTCCAAGAATGCTCTTCATATGAGACTGTTAAGGGCACCCATGATCTTTATGATGTAGCTCACACACTGGTCCTAGCAACCGACCTTTCTGTGAAAGACGCAGATGTCATCTACTTAAAAACATGTTTACAGAAAAGCAACAAAATCATGACAAGATAAACCAACAGAACACACTAACACTAGACATACAAGAAGAACGGCTTGCAAGACTGGCTAACTCCTTGCATTAAGCTGGAATGGCAGCTGCCAAGAGTGGTGTGGATGACACCTCTCCTTCTATTCAGAGCGGTGAGATAAAGCTGCCGAGAGAAGCAGCTCTATATAATTCACCGTTCTCAGGGCCGAGTGGATTGACTCAGTCCTCGTCACCCACGACACTTCCACTGTTAGTCTCCTGTGACTGGATACTTGGATACCTTGCAGCAGGGCGGGGATCAGGCTGCATCTTTCCCCTCTACCTCGCAGCATCCTGATGAACAAGTGTTCATTGCATATGTGAAGTAACACATTCCAGCCTGTTTTCTGCCCTGTTATGGATTTTTTAAAACTACATGGCAAACTTGGGTGTTTCATGAGGAATACTTCACCTTCAAGACTTCTTCTGCTAGCATCTTTACACAGGTTCCCTTTGCGATACATAGGAACAGAAATCTGACTTGAGGTTGGGGTTACCAGGACCTTATTCCCCTCGCAAGCAGACTTTGTTTGATCTAGGGGAATTCGCTGTGAACTTCATACCAAACTAAGCTTTCTTTAAAGGATCAGAACAGCCTGCCAAAAATCTCTCAAGTGTATGTTTTATGAAGTGCTGCGCAAAGCCCAACTCGTAGTCCCAGGCTTCCAAGCTCATTAGTGCACAAAACAGAGCTGTGCAGAGAAATTAACTCCCAGTAGGAGGATTTTCCTGAGAAAAGGAAGGCCTAAAGATACTCAAAAGAAAAAAATATACGGGGGACACAAACAAATTCTCCCAATCAGGTTTGGCAGTTTGGAGCCTTTGTACTGTTCCTTCTCCATCTTTCTAAAAATACACTGCTAAACATATCAACAAACCCCAAAATTTTCAACATCCAGTGAAATAGTAGACTTGAGACTGCAGCACTCTAAGTCTCTGAGGACCATTCTCCAGCTCTGTCACACACCTGCTTCACACTTAAACTCTGCCTGCTGCAGCAGGAGAAATTCCACACAGCTGGTCTCAGAACAAAGTTATTACAGTCCAATTACAAGTAAGTACACCAAAAGGTATCACCATTATTATCAGGGAGCAAGACGACACTAACTGACCTCAGATGATCTGTAACATAGAACTCAAGACTGGAAAGAGACAAGAACATGACAAGAAAAATCCCTAGTCTGGAAGGCATATAAAGCTAGGTACCAGGTCAGCAGGACTCTGGTCAACTCCAGACTCATCTAAAACAGTTACAAAGATTTTTGGAAGCAGCAGTGCATCAACAATACAAACTCAACAGAAACAAAAGCAGTAAAAATAGTATCACTCCCAGATTACAACATCATAAAGCTATAGGTCGCTCATCCAGCCACGTACTTGTTTGAGGCCATCACCCAGCTCTACAGCTTGTGTTCCCACTGGCTCTGACTTCTCTTTTGCTGTCAGGTGGAAGCTCTCTGTCTCACAGCTGGGTTCCAAAGGAGGCATCTCAACTGCAGGTGCTGCTGCAAAGATAATTTGGCTGTTATTGTTCACTGGACTGATGCAGTGTTACATATTAAGCAGAAAGAGAAGACATCTGAAAACGAAAGTGCCATTTTCCTCATCTCTTGTAACATTCACAGCCATGAGGGTTCACTTGAAAGGCACCCTTCACTGTTAATAATAAATTAAATACACAACAAAACAAAAAACCCAAAAAACCTCGCTCTTGTCAGCACGCTGAGTTAACTCAATTGCTAGAATCAGGCTAAAATGAATTTTCCTCAGAATCTAAGTCAGGTATTTGGCAGGAACTGTATGTGATTTTCTGCCTTCTCTCATAGCTGTTATGGGAACGCTGAGGACATCTGCAGTCTGTTTTCTTTTATAGAACATTGTACCTCAGCCTTTCAGACTAGCGCTAAACCTTCAGTCTCAAAAAGCGCATCGGAAGGGCTTTACCAGTCTGTGGAACAGATGTTCAGGGGATCCTCCTAGTTTTGTTATTTACTGCTTGGAACAACTAGAAATTCCAGTCCTGCACGCACATTCAGAAAGTCTGTATTCTGAACGGGCTAAACATCCCTTCTTTCACCCCACACCAAAATACAGTGGCAACCTGTAGAAAACTTCCAGCTGAGCTCCCTGCTACCAAGACAACTTCCTTGTGGCAGCTGCTTCTGCAGCACCCCACAGCCCCTCTGTACTAAAACCTAGGGGAACCGGGGCTGCTACAGCAACTGGAAATGCCACAACATCCACCTGAAACAGAGCTGCTTGGCCACGGCACTTGAGAGTTACGTGCTTTCAGTTAAATGACACACTGCCTCACCTTGCGGCACCTCTTCCTGCACCTCGCCTTGCGGCACCTTTTCCTGCGCCTTGCCTTGCGGCACCTCTTCCTTCTCTATTTCACTTGCCAGGTACTTCTTCAGGGTCAGCAAGGAACCTGCTCTTGTCCGCTCAATCGCAATGATATCGGACACGCTTCTGAGGACTTCAAACAGGGAGCAAAATCCATATTGTGTGTACTGGAACGCCCGGCCAAAGCGTCTGAAGAAGGCCTTATCAAAGTCCAAGAGCAGAAGTGGTGAGGAACTCAGTAGAACCTGCAGCTCAGCCTTCACGGTCTCTGGCAGGACTGGAGCCCTGCCCCTCTGAGGGAAACTCTGTGGATTCTTAGAGGGAGAAGCAGCATTTGCCTTCACAGCAGCATTCTTCCGTGCCTTACCACTTCTCTTCTGTCTGGCAACCAGTTTGGCAATTGCTTCAGTGGTCTCATCTGCAATGGCTACAACAGAAAGAAAGAAACTATCAGACTACCAAACCAGCCGTTGTAGTTCAACCCATCAGTCAGCAACTAGGACCACACAGCCGCTCACTCGCTCCTCCTCCCTCCGTGGGATGGGGAGGAGAATGGACTAAAAGTAAAACTCATGGGTTGAGATAAAGACAGTTAAATAAGACAACAAAGGAAATAATTATTATAATAATATGCAAATCAAGTGGTACACGGCTCAATTTTTTCTCACCGCCCAATGACTGATTGCTCAGCCAGTCCCCGAGCAGTGATCACGGAATTCGTGGATTTTGTGGACCTCAGGGAAAAAGTTCAAACTCACAGAAAAAGTACCCACTCTCTGGGCCAACCCCCATCTATATACTGAGCATGATGTCTATGGTAAGGAGTATTTCCGTTGCTCAGCTTGTGTTAGCTGCCTGGCTATGCTCCCTCCCAGCTCCTGCACACCTGCTCATTAGCTGATTATCAGAAACTGAAAAGTGTCCTTCATTTCTTAGCAACAACTAATAACATCAGTGTATTATCAACATTCTTCTCATACTAAATCCAAAACAGTGCAGCTACTAGGAAGGAAATTAACTCTATCCCAGCCAAAACCAGGACAACAGTGCACCATTAAAAGCTCTACACAAGCAAAGCTCCTCTTCATTCCTTCCTTTCCTTTTTCCTTTTCAGAACCAGGTGTCTCTTTCAAAAGCAATCACACCAAATCACTGCTCATTTCCAGCAGGGCAATCAGTTTTCCTCTCCCTTTGCAAAGTGGACTGAACCAGATTTAATAGCCAGCAACCAATCTGCACCCTCAACCCTATAAATCCAGATCCAGGTAGCAAGGCATATCAAATTCTTGGATACAGGATCACAACAGGAAATCCAGCTGCTACGAGTTTTGCTGGGAAAACAGTAAACGGCTCATTGTTCCCCTCAGCCAGAATTACAGTAAACCCCCACTACAGAGCACCCGCGCGCCCAGGCAACGTCTCCCTGGAGACCAGCCCAGGTCTTTTCCAAGTTTTAAACAACTTTTTCTTGTCTTACTGCAGCATTCCAAAAGAAAAAAAAAAAAAAACAAAAAACCACTTCACCCTCCCCAGTCAACTCTTTGCACTTACCATTTGTTTCCACAGCTCTTTCTCAAAGAAAAAGAAAATAAAAGAGATCCCTTGACCCAGACTAAACTTCCCATGGTGACAGGGGGGAAACAGTTACAGCTTCTTCCAGAGAGGCCCCATACCTGGTTTCAGTGCCTGTTGTAGTCTGCGTTTACAGGAAAAGCGATGCTTACCAGTTCTAGTGTACCCATAAGAAATGTTGCTGCAGTTCCTAAACTAACTGCAGAATGCAAAATGTACAAAAATAACCAGAAGCCTGTGTGATTTTTCAGGAGGAAAGAGCGGAAAAGTATTAAAAGGCAGATCAAAATACAGGAAGAAACATCAAAGACAAGAAATTAAACAGAGCTATATGAGAAAAAGAATAACAGATATATGTGACCTACAGCTCTGGGAATCCACCCTGCACATACCAGTATGTGGTTCCAAACAACTCCTCCACCCATAAGGGAACTAAACCTCACCTTTGAGGACAAAAGTGCCTTTCTCATAAGGACAGACTCTGACAACTTCAGGCATATCTGCCACCAGCTCCAAGGTGGATCGGTAGCCCAGGTCACGTACAGGGAGAGGTTTGCCGATCATGGCCTTGTACTCCTGCTCCAGTTGTACTGGGGTTAAGCCCTCCTTGGCAGCCATTAGCAGCGATCTCACCTCCTTCTTCAGCATCTCCATAAGCTGTGCCTGCTTCGACATGTCTGCACTAAAGGGGAAACAAAAGCAAGCAGAAGACAACTTGTAGCACAGCTGCTCAAATACAGGCAAAAGACTTTCTACCACGTAGCAGCTGAAAGCTGGTGGGGGGAGAGGTGAGCAAGCCAGGTTCACCAACACCCACCACCTACCAACCCCTGCACTTCCTTGCCTACACCCCTGGAGCTGCCACCCTTTGGCACCCACTGTCCCAGCTGAGACCACTGAAAACATCAGTGTATTATCAACATTCTTCTCATACTAAATCCAAACGCAGCAGCTAGTAGGAAGAAAAATACTCCTCCTGCACTCACTGCCAGTTCCCATTGGCTCACAGCCCCTAGAAGCACTGCATCCCCACAGCGTGTATTGCACCCCTAAACCCCTGCACCAGGGACTGCCCTCTATGAACCCTGCCACTCCACAGAGATCCCTGT